TTGGCTATCAATTACTGTTTAATATATGGGAATATAACTCTCCTATAGTGGTTGCTTAATTTGGATTTTTTATGGAAAGGAACAAAATTGTGTTAGCTTTACTTGGTAGAGTACGTTCTGTCATGGCGTTCTCGAAAATGTTTGCAAATAGACGCGATGTCGAAAAAGCCATAACCTAGTTGTAGCTGCAGTCCCCTCTGCTCAGTGTGATTTTAATCTCCATTGCAGTAGTTAGGTACCCAAATGGCATCGGGTCATAGTTCAAATTACACGCATCACTGTAGCCCCAGACACCCATAGCAAAAACCCGACTATAAAAAGGAAAGTGTAGTACCGCCAAACAACGTATTTTACAACCACTCAAACTGGATACGTCCAAACCAGCAAAATGTTGTTCAACCTGGTTTGCAAAATAGTTCAATAAACATCTAGGCCGACCGTGCACTAACCAAAAGGGGTACTAAATGGGGGAAAACGCACAGATAAAAAGAGCTTGTAACAGTTATTTTTGGATTCAAATCACACAAAAGATAACTCTGGGTAGCTGACTTTTAAACAATCATACGTTTGTAACGCAATTGATAATTCTTGTCGCTTAATAAAAACTTCCTATAATACGAGTTAAATTTCGCAAGCTAGGTTAAAGCTTTCGATGAAAATTCTCACCAGATGATAAGATGGAATCGCGTCGAATCAGTTACACATTTGAAATACTGCCTCAGCTAAAGCTCTCAAAGCAATGCGTGTCTAGACGGAATCCAAATAAAAGTTTATGTATTGAGCTCTCAGTATTTTAATATTAATGACCGCCCGTTTGCTGGCCTACATCTAATAAAAACAGTCGTCTTTATTGTTCTTGTATCAGGTAAACACAAACGTATGTAAATTTCATCCCTGTAGTCAATATTTTGCAAGTTAGTCTGATTTAGGTACCACAGCAATGACAGCAATTCTAGGAAAAATTTTAAATTGTTATGCATACCATAATACATAATCATGCTTAAATGCTTCTTGACTATTTTGGTGCATATTATAATGCCGTGCATTTGGGTAGCACTACGGTTGAGGTCTTGCAGATTGGCTATTTTACATTTGGTAGCTGCTTCAAAGCAATTTTGACAATACTTAACTTTGCTCTTTTGTTGCACAACTCCGATTATTTGCTCTAGATGCATATTTGATTTATCGAACTGGCAAGGTAATGCAAATAAATGTTCATTTAAAGACTTGCATGCGAAATCCATAATAAATAAATAAATAGGATATTCTCGGTAAAACGAGAAACAAAGTAAAGGTGTGATCAAATATGCATACAAGTATAGCTTCTTTGGAATGTTAAAACATTTCATTTTAATGAAAAGTATAAAAGAAAAGATAGCCGTATGAGTGAGCATACTGTCGGGTAATAGTCAGACCAAGGGAAAATATGGCTCTGTGGCGCGCAAAAATCCGTCAAAACACTAGTTTGGGGTAATTTCGCCTGGTAGTGATCCGTGAGCGCAGGAGCCTAAACAAGGTTTTGTTGCAACCAATAACCAGTACGAGATAGGGATGATCTGTGCTCCAACATAGCATTCTTCATAGCGGAATTAGTTGCACAGGTTCGATGTAGAAGCCTGAGGACTGCGTCAGTGTGAATTGCTTAGCTGTGACTTTTTTGTGGCGAGACACATCCGCCACGTTGCAGTGTTGTTAAGCGGGCATTTGTGGCTTTTTGTAGGAAGAACGCTTGCCAGGCGAATACCCACCACGTCCTGGAACACTGCCGTAGCTTTCGTTGAACAGTAGTGCAAGTCGGTTATGCATCATAGAGACCGATTTTGCACTCTATTATTCGCAGTCGTTTGACAGCCAAAATTCTTCGTTGGTTGGCTGAATGGCTTAGTACTGATACGGCAGCAGTCGTCGAGGCCGGTCATTGATGCAAGTTTCGAAGAGTCGAATGATAATGATGCAGGCGAGTAAACACATTATTAATAGAGGCCAGCTCTTCTATTATATTCTTGCTCGGCTCGCAAACCGTGTCCAGCTATCCACGCTGAACTTGTCATGGGGTCGGTGAGTGAAGTTGTTTCTTGTGGCTGAATATGTCCTTAATAGGTAAAAACGCCATTATCTGCAAATTGCATTTGGGAGTCCATGGAAGACCATCGGTATGGCCGCATATACGTGCGCAACGCTGTCCGTGAAATGACATTAGAATAGCTCCAGGTGACTGGCGAATAGGAATGTTTGAGGCAGTGAAGGTAATCACGCCAGCGTTGTTTGTCTTCGATTGTGGAACGGGGGATCCATGTACATATATTATTCCGGGTGAGTAGATTGTTCTCTGAGTACGAGGCAAGCTAAACCCATTTGTTTAGACCCCGTGAAGGTAGCGCCTCCGGAATAGCGGAATGAGCTCCATTTGGACCAGGGCGTGGGTTTTTCATTTCCTGGAGAAAAGACCAAGCCTTTTGAGGATGGGTCCGCTAGTCCCAGTGGATAAACCTTCTTGTTTTGGCGGATGTACCTGTGGGAATCTCGGAAAAAACGGGCAACGGACAGGAGGTGGTCAAACAGAGACAGCAACGAATCAAGAAGCACTAACACAGACTGGTGGCGCTCACCGGATCCTATGATACATTCACACTTATGTAATTTTGTTTATTATACATAATTTGCAAGCGCGTTCTATACATTACGTCGCTGGTGTGACTCAGACTACAGCTGCTACGGGTGAAGAAGGTTCTGCACGCGCAGGGTCAAAAGACCGATATAACAAAGCGTTTTAACAAAAGTTAAGCGAATGATGCGATGGTTGGAGAGAGACAGGTAAACCAATGATGATGGCGGAAGCCAGAATGGCAGGGGCATCTTAGGTGAAACTGAGGACAACTAGGTTGAGACCGAATGCGGGAGCAAGATAGGTAGAGCAACATTCCAAGAGGAAAAGGAATTTCAAGGAATCGGCTAGGAGCGAATGAATGCTGACGGCAATACGAGGAGTAGTTCGTAAGAGTGATTAGGCTAAAGCGTTTATGATTCTACAGTCCAAAAGCCGTCAGAATCTAGGAAAATGGTCACAGGGGGCCAAAACTGCCGGGCATTGGGAGTCGTTATGACACGTACGGTCTCAATAGTATACCAGTGCAAGCATAAGGTAAAGGGCATAGGAATAAGAAGAGTGGTAATTTGAGCATATCAAGGGAAGTACTAGTCAAGCAACAATTAGCAATGGTCCGAGTGCCGCCACTACTAAGGAGCAAGCTCAGAGGGAAGGAGATCATGCGCACCAGGATAACTTGGATAGGCGCAATGAGTGTAAGCTGTGGGAATAAAAATTGGAGCGCAATCAGAGAAAAGGCCATGGATAATAAGAAACAAAAGCAGGCAGAAAGTGTCAGACGGGTCAAGTGAGAGAGGAAAGCGGCAGGACAGTAAAGACGGACGTCCGAGTTAAAAAGAAATGAAAACAGAAAGCGATAGAAAAGGTTTGGGTCTAGATGAGAACGGATCATTGGTAAAGCGTGGAAAGGCCCACAAGTCTCTCCACGTAGTGTTTACAGGACCAATAGGTCAGCCGAGCCAACAGAATTGACGTCTCAGAAGTCCATATGTATTCACTGAGTATGGGACCGACTAAGCGGGATTGGGTTAATCGGCGCTTTGGGACTAGATCGTACAATGCAGATAAGAAAGAGGCTATAACAATAATGTGGGGTAATAGAGTTAGCTCTGTGGAGCCAATACCGTTTAAGGCTCGGTATCATGGGAGCAGTCAGAGATAAACAGACTAGTCCAGTGAGACAGGATCACGGCAGGGCAGTAAGGGGAATGAAAAGAGAAAGCGGGATAAGAAAAGGTTAGGTTCGGTATGAGAAAGGTTTACTGATAAGGAGTGAGGGAGCCAACGAGGCTTTCCAGGTGATGAAAGCAAGACGTCGAGTCAGCCGAACCAAGGTTTGTAACGTGGAATAACTCTAAGTAAAAGTGGAAACAAGTGGCTAACCTAGCGAGATTAGATTAGTCGGCGCGTAAGAATAGCACGTAAAATTAAAGGCAGGAAAAGAGGCTGTAACAAAAGGTGAACGAGTCTAGCAACGTCACGAAGTAAGGGATCAAGAGCGTTGAGTCTGTATAGCGTATCCCACTAAAGTCAGAGTAGCATATCAGCAATCAGAGAGAAGGAAACTGATCGGTGGACTAGATCACCACACCGCCAGTTGAAGAACAAGTAAGAACAGAGCGCGATAAAACATAAGTTAGCGACAGGATAACAAGGGTTTATTGACCATGGGTAGGAGAAGCCCAATAGGCTCTCTAGGTAATGTAAAGGGATAGTAGAGTCAGACGAGCCAAGCGAAGCGACTTCTCAGAAGTCTGAATAAATCCGGAGAGCAGGAGGCCGATCGGGTAGGACTTGATTAGTCGGCGCGTTTGGTTAAGGATATGTAGTAAAGGTGAGAAAGGAGCCATCAGTAAATGGTGAGCAAGTCAAGCAGGCTCTATGTTTAAGGGAAACATAATGTTTAGACTACGGGGCGCATACCGCGTAGGTCTTAGTATCATAGTAGCAGACTGAGGGGAACAGACTAGGCAAGTAAGCCAATATCACGGCAATGGAGTACAGCCGGACGTCCGATAAGAAAGGGATTGAAAACAGAAAGCGAGAGAAGAAAAGGTTAGGGTCGGTATGAAAAGGTTTACTGATAAGTAGTGAGGGATCCCACGAGGCTTTCCAGGTGATGTGAGCAAGACGTCGAGTCAGCCGAACCAAGGTTTTAACGTGGAATAACTCTAAGTAAAACTGGAAACAAGTGGGCTTAAATAAAATAAATAAAAGTAAATTGTGCATAGACATTCCTTTAAAATGATTCACTGCAAGAAAATAAATCATGGGTTATTATTAAAATGAATCCAAAACCTATTGGGCCGCGCAACATAAGAGACCGTTTGTGAGTTTAGTCTAGCCACGCCGACGAACTCGATGGTCGCGTGACGGCGGCTGACTCACTTACCAAATATCGGGCGGGTGTCAATGATGCAGCTAAAAGACTAGATGGACAATCCAGTGCTTCAGGTTGACGGTGACCGATGCCATCGATAACGTAGTGTCCGGTGTTAAATTTGGCTGTAACACGCATAAATAACCAACACATGCAGCAGTACATTGGATAATGAAAAAATGTGGTTATACATCGCATAAATGAACTAATCCACAACGTGCTTTGTTAGCGCGACCTGCTTGTGGATAGAAGAAGATGGCTGGCCAAGCGATGATTCTGATGTGAAATAAAAGCCCTGACTATGGAGTTTGTCTCAGTAGGGTTAAAAAGTATGATGAGCACGTCTGATTTGATACGTCGGTGGGCAGGGCTTAGAGCCAACCTCAGTTGCGTTCGTGTTGTGACTATTTTTCACCACCTTATCCCGTGTAGTTTTCCTCGCCAAACACGATCTTATTTGTCAGATATAATTTACCTATTTTTTGCTGCGCAATAGCCGCTTGTTAGCTCTCCAGAAACATGTCCATCCGTTATTCGTGAAGCAGTCGGTGTTCCCTTCATGCTTGCTTTTGTTCTTTGCTTTTGTATTACGACACAATAGCAGAGGTGTTTTTCACCTCAAGCCAACCTGTTTAGGGATGATCCTATATTGTGTCGTCCGACAGAAATGAATGAAATAACATCTACCTTTTTGCTGCGGCAAAAGAGGCATCTATTTGTTAATCAGTGCTTCACCGGATGTTTCTCAAAATATGAACTTTTTTCAGAATATTGATGAGTCAAAATTTGCGTTCGATGAATTAGCAAACACGAGTAGTTTTCACCTTATCCACAAAGTTGAATTGAACAGAATGCTCCTAAATGAGCATTTAAATGATTTAGGTTCAATTCCGTGTTTTTGGTAGAATTCGGCACAGAAATTACTAGAGTGCGAAATTCATAAAAGAAATATTGGGTTAAATTAAGGTTGTTCTTCAAAACAGAATTGGTGCGTAAATGACAGGCTATCACATCTTCCTCAATCATGTAGGTGACCCATTATTCATATTTCTAAGCAAAAACAATAAAAGCTGAAAAATGCATTTTTGTGAGTAATAGAACAAATTGTTTCTGCGAATGACATTCAGCAGTATGTACATTTCAGTTAGGTAAAACCACCTGGCTAAGAACTTCTACCAGCAAATGTGGTAATGTATTCAATTATGTAGTAAGGAATACATTTCGAAATTCCAAGGGGATTTCACCATCACTATTAAACTACGTCTAATTTTACCGTTTAATTTTTAAAAGATCGTATCCTAACATTGATCTTATGATGTTCAAGTGGTACTATGACAACATTTTTAATCTAATACATAGCATGATATATTTTCAGCTGCTGCGACTGGAAAAGTAACGTAACTATGCACTGAAATTAAATGCGAATATTTTGTAAGAACAGCGGACCGAAAAGATTTTTAAACTTTACCTGTTTTACTGTTCCTCAAGAAAATAAAGTAGACTCGCAAAATGTGTTCATAAATGACTTCTAGCAAAAGTTGTAAATCTGTTATATTAATAATGCTTTTATTATTAATTTTGGTAACAGCATGATTTAGTATCCTATGAACTTACCATGGCTAGTATGTAAAGCGGCAGTGATGCGTTTAGTCATATAATAAAGCGAAATACTCAGTGGCATGAAGAAAAATCAACATTAATTTATTTTCATAATTTCTGATGATTTAACTTAAGCAAAACGATATTTGAAAACTTCAAGTATAGAAATCCATGGGCAATAGCTCATGTGTGTCTGCCTTACAATTCACATGAATTTACATGGACGTCATACTTTCGCAGTCAAAGTATGGGAAATTTCTGAATCAGAATCAACAAAATATCCTCCTGTGCAAAGGTTGTTTAGCTTTTGCGGTATACTGCTCCCAATCAGAGCAGTGATATCCAAAGATTGGCTCACCAGCAATAATAGCTGCTTGTTGAAATTGCGTGTGTTATATGTTAAACAGCATATTTGGAACTTTTGATGCAACGTGCTTGCCTGTTTACAGTCGCTTTGATTTCAAATTTCCACTTTCATAGTGGGTGTGGTTTAGGATAAATGAAGTTCTCAAATGTTAAGTCCTTAAAGGATAGTTTGTCATTTCAAGATTACATTTTATTTATAGTAACGCCAAAAATATACAGCAATTATTCAGCAAAATTTCTCACAATCCAAATGATTCATTTGTCAAGGAGTATTTAATTAGTTTTCAGTGTTTCTTTATCTCAATTAACTTGGCTTGTCTTCATAGTATTGCTTTATTTGTCAACGGTGTGTTTATAAAGGAATAGTCAGCTATTCGTGCACTTTCTTTTTACAAGAAAACTTAGCAAATTGAATTGATGGTTCCGAAATTGTGCGAAAGAAGTACTTACTGATTTGCCTTAACCTGATTTTATATATTATGTTTTATATACATACCCAGTCTGCAACGTCAACAAATGCTAGCCAGCAGCAATTGTTAAGTTATTAGAAGCGCTGTCAAAATGTAACTTTTGAGTTAAATGGCTTCAGTCATCCATCCACTAAGTGAATTTTCCCAAGCACCACAACTCAACCGATTTTGTGATACGATCGTAGCTGCTATGAAATGAAAACGTATTCTTTAAGCGTATAATACAAATAAGCCGCCGTAAGTTTATGAGTATTAAGTTATTAGCTTTTGTCGTTGTTTTAATACTGTAACCAATAAGACGAAAACCTACTTGGCTTTTGTTCACCACGACCCAAAGCACAAATGAGTTAAACTAATCTAATAGATTTACCGATGTATTTATTAAAACGTTAAGCATAGAGAATTAATGAGCTTTCTAAACATTATATGAAAACACCTGTGAACACAGATTAATTATAGGAAATGTTTGAAATACGCTGTGAGTTTCAAAACCAGTACTATAGAAGAGAACCCACGAAAATAAAAGTATCACATGAAAACGTTTGTCTCAATCAACGTATGCTCCAAATAGCGCTAACAACACTCTACACAAAAACTTCTTAGGCCATCAAATTTATATAATAGAATTACCTATGAGTAGAAGGATTGTTGCCCGTGTTTTGTTCGTCGCAATCAGCCTTAATACATATGAGTCTATACCCTATCTTGAAAAGCACCAGACGACAGTTTCGCTTTATTGGGGCTTCTCAGTTGTGCACATCCTTTGATCCTCTACGGAGAGTCGAACCCATGACTGCTAATGGCTCGTGCCAACTGGCCCGCACCTTATGTCACTGCGCCATGGCGGATCGTAGCCGACCGTTACGAATTGTTATTTAATTGCTAAATAGCCGGACCCATTCTCCACTGCCATGCTGGCACCTGCCAGGCAGCTGACAACGGTTGGCCTTCTGGCGTCAGGACTTCCAGGTTACGGCAGCTAGGAAACGCCAGCATTTTTAAAACTGTAATGGATTCGTATTACTTATGAGCAGAAAGCTTTTGGCGGGTATTTTGTGTTCGTAGCAAACAGCCAACAGCACAGCTAAATCAACTCCCTATTTGGAAATGCACCAGACTGTTGTTTGGCAAAATTGGAGTTCGTTGGTGGTGCGCACCCTTTGGTCCTCTACGGAGGATCAAACACATGACTTCTAGTGGCTTGTGCGAACTAGCCCGCAGCTTATGACACTGGGCCATGTGATATGGTAGCCGACGATCAAGAATTGTTAGTTAATTGCGATATTGCCCGACCCATCCTCCACTGCCGTGCAGCACGTGCCATGCAGATGACAGCGGTTGGCATTCATTTTTCATTAGATTGGAACAATGGAATGCTTTTTCGTTATTACTGCGTTTTCAAGTCGATACAATGAAGTTCTATGAAACGTAAAATATTTTTTTGATAACTATCGTCGCTTCAGCGTACGTGGGCTATAAACCAAAAATGCTGGCGGCCTTCCACTTAAAACTATGAAAATTGTAGAAATATTCTTCGAATGTACAAACGAGCGATATTTTCCTTAATGGTTATACAACCGCAGAAGATGCTAGCCAAATACTGTGCCATTCACAATGGAAGTGGCAAAAAGATTGTATGCACTATCCAGTATGAAGAAAGAGCAAGCGCTAGTTGATTTCATAAAACAACAAAGCCTATTGCTAACGAAATAACTTTAACGCGTTTTCCAGTGTCTCGGTCGATCATGACTCTATCTATATAATCCAGACTATTAAACAGCACTTCTGAAGGTTTAAGTAATTCTAACTGTTTCCCCTTCATCTTACTTGCCCATCCTTACCGGGTAACTCGATCAAATTGAATTTTCACTAGGGCATAAAAAAAGTTGAAAATTACCGGCTGATCAAATTATACAATTTTATACATGATGCCTAGACAAGTCGCTCAAATGTGGTATAATTATTGCAGGTACGTGGCTTGAAAGGTAACACGACTGATCTCGCTAGGGGCGCTGCCGTGTGACATGTTAGTTTGTATTACGCAACTAACTCTTTCTCACCTTGGACGACAGGAATTCATTGATGGTGATATTCACAGGCATGCTAAAAGCGCTTGTTCATGTACCATCGTATGGTGGGCAGCATCCGGTTTCGGATTTGCCTGTCACTGCCCCAGCCACAGAACGCCCGCACCTACAGCGCGAACATGGGTGGCTTGCGCTGCACCACCCACAGCTCCAACCACACACCACATATATAGGGTAACCCCGAAGGAATAAGACCAGGAGGCATGTGGATTGGAGCCATGTTTCATCAACGGAGCCGGCCAACCCTCCTTCACAGGCAAACATAAGCACGCTGTATTTGGGGAAGCAACTGCACGCCAGGCAGTGGCTAAACCGTAGTCCGTTCCACACTGAGTGCATGGAACCACGCTTTGATTCCAACACGGCCACAAGAACTGTGCACCCCGTCCTCTCCAGCAACGACCAACTGTCCACTAGAGCCTGTATGCACAAGGTAGTGGGTAATAGACAGATAGGCTCCTTGTCAACATGCACATCAAGCGCAGTTACACCGCGGATATCACGCAACAACCAATCACTTGAGAGAAAGCTAACAAATAAAAAAATAAATCGAGTAATGCATAAGGCAACGGTGACATAAATCTTAAATCAATGAGCATATGAAATAAGTTGTTTA